CCAGGGCATCGCTGGATCCCACCTTTCTACATTCTCATCTGAACCCAATTTCCTGCCTCTCTCCTGTAAAGACCGGTAAGGCTGTGATTTGAGTATTGTCCAGGCAGCAGGTAGTGGGGTTGGTGGGGCTTCCTGGAAGAAAGCAATAGCCTGAGAAGGCTGCCTTTGGCATCAGAGGACCCTCCTACTTCCTTTGATACAATAATGCCTTCAACAGCTGCCCCTCTTCCAAATGTCCTCAGCCTCATCTCCTTTAAGACAATAGTTACTGCCAGCTGGAGAGGCCCCCAGAGCCTGATGAAGGGCTTGAGACCAATGCCAGAAAATGTACTATAGCTCTTAATGCCCAGGGCTCACAGCTGCATTTTGCACCTTGGGTAGGTAGTGTGGGGAGTTTCGAGTCATTCCAGGGTTGCTGGTGGCTGAAGCAGAAGAACAGAGAGAGACCCAAGCAAACAGCCCCTGAGTCTCTGGCTGGGACAGTTCTGATGTCATTCCAGGAAGGTTCTGGCAAACTCAATGAGAATGACATCCCTTGGAGTTGGGCTACAAAGCACCTTGAACGTGGGGGGTGGAAGGGTAAGCCTTCGTCAAGACAGTATCATGAAATGGGACCAACCCTCCCTCAAGTCCAGTGTGTCTCCAGCTGATGCTGGGTTTAAGGAGCTCTAGGATTCTTGATCTTCTTGCTGAATCGGAAGTCCCCAGGTGGGCTGGCTTCTTCACACTGCGGCAGTGTGTTCCTCTACTGTTGACCACAGTGTATGTGCGGGAAAGAACTGATGTTCCAGGCCCCACTAGTGTTGGCCCAAGGGGGCGCCCACAGAGAGGTTGTGAGGGTACTGCCCCAGAACTGAAGGGAAGGAGGAGCAGTCAAGCCTGGCCTGAGCAAAGAGCCAGGAGAGGCAGGGGCCTTGGGAGGGACGCCAGAGGGCCATGGCCTATGTGGACTCTGGCTTTTGGGGCCTTGGGTCCCAGAAGTTGAGGCCAGGCCAGAGAGGGCCAAGATCAAGCCTTCAGCCAGAAACAGCAGCAGGCAGGACACATGCCCTGCAAGGGAAGCCAGGCTGGTGGACAGACAGTGCAGTCTCGGCAATGGCAAATATGGGACATGGAGAGGGGAGGGCACCACGGGCAAAGCCATCACCAGTTCCTTCTGGGACAGCCTTCACCACTTCTCCAGCTCTCCAGAGTCGCCTGGGACTTCAGGGACAACCTCTCTTATGATTGATAGGGAGGCTTCTTGCACGTGACAGGAGTGGGGGGATCCCCCAAGCCCTGGGCTTTGCATACAGTGGGTGCTTTATCAATGTCTGCTGAATAGCTAAGCTAAAAAGACCTGTGAACTTGCTGATCTGGAACTTGATGTTGGAAGAGTCTTGAGGGCAGTGTAAAATGACAAGGCATCAAAGCCATTCGGAATGTCACTCACTCATGACACGCAGACATTACCCGTCCACCCAGCTCTGAGCTCCCCACTCTAAGAGGCCAGATGGGACGTGGTCAGCGCCCACAGTCAGGGCTGGGTCTCCGAAATCAAACACTGGCCCTTTAGGCACAGTGGCACATTCAGATCCGAAATCAACCTTTAGCAGGGGGTGGAATTGACCCTATTTGACTGCGAGGAAACAAGTTGAAATAACTTGCTGAATGCCCGGCAGCTCCTGATTTGGCCACTGAAACTCAAATTCTGTCTGATCACACAGAATTCGCTCGCTCTGCCAGACGACATCGCAGGGACCACATTCTCCCCACGTCCACCTGGCCTCTGGAGTCCTGGGGGCTGGGGGCGGCTGGAACCTGGCTTCCCTCGAGCCCTGAGTTTCCTTAGGCTTCCGGCAGGCGGCGCCAGCCTCCTCCCCAAGTCCCAGCGCGAGATGGGAAGGGGGCGGTGTCCCAGGTTTCAGATGGGCGCCCGCCTCCCATTAAAGCCCACTTCATGGGGACTGGAGGCCTAGAAGCGATGTGCATAACGGATCCGCAAAGAAGGCTAAAGTACTCTGGCCCCAGGACCCCGGGATGTGCAGCCTAGGGGTGGGGTTGAGGTCCCGCGGTAGGGGAGGTCCTAGGCGGGGAC